CCCCCCCCCCCGTCTAGGCATGCTGCTGGATGCCAGACATGACCTCTGTACTTGATGCAGCCCCCCCACACTCCCCACCCCATCTCTGCCTGGTCTCTTAAGATACCAGGAGCCATGAGGCCCCAGATCTTCAGAGTCACGGAAGCAAGGGTCCTACTTCTGTTGCCAAGAGCATCATTCGGGCAGTATGGACAGCCATCCTGAAACACACACACACACCCCGATCCAATTCAGTGAGAGAGAAACTAGGTTAGCTTTCCTGGTCAGTCTTCTGTAAAAGCAGATTTGGGGGGGGGGGTTAGGGAAATCTGGACCAGGGCTGCAATTCTGAGGGGTTCACACACACAAGAAGAAGAAGAAAAGAGATTGGATTTATACCCCGCCCTTCCCTTCCCAAAGGAGTCTCAGAGCAGCTTACAAACTCCTTTCCCTTCCCCTCCCCACAACAGACACCCTGTGAGGGAGGTGGGGCTGAGAGAGCTCAGACAAAAACTGCTCTTTTCCAAGAACAGCTCTTGTCAGAACTATGGCTTGCCCAAGGTCATCCAGCAGGTGCAAGTGGAGGAGTGGGGAATCAAACCCAGTTCTCCCAGATTAGAGTCTGCACACTTAACCACTACACCAAACTGGCTCACACACACCCCTACCACACAGAGACAAAGCTCCCCCCACCACCTTGAGCTGCTCTAAACTCTCCTGCCACAGTGGCTCCAGGGGGTGGGGGGCACTTCTGCCTACAAGAAGGCAGGAGAGGAAGGGTTAACACACACACACACCCCAGCGCGCATACACTCCACTGCAGTCCTTGGCCAAACCCTCCCTCTCCTCCAAGCAGCAGCCAGTTCTAAAGCCAAGGACACCCAAGAGACGCAGGAGGCCAGGCTTCTTGGGTCCCCACATCCATGGCCATTCCTCTCGTTGGAGGCAGTCCCTGCAGCCCATCCTCCTGGTTCACAGGTGAGGGAAGCAGGAAGCCCAGCCCCAGGCGGTGTGTGTGGGTTCTGCTTGCCCCTGACCTGAAAATCCGGGAATCCAACATCAACCCCCCAGATCTGGCAGCCTGAAAATCTCAACAAATCATTCAGCCCAAACCTATGCGGTGGGGGAGGGGGTAGAAAACCTGGAAACATTTTAATGGTTTTTTACAAGGACCCAAGACAGCCACAGCAGATCACAAGAGGCTTCATGCCCCCCAATCCCAACCAGAAAGCCAGTCTGATGTAATGGTTAAGTGTGCGGACTCTAATCTGGAAGAACCGGGTTTGATTCCCCACTCCTCCTCCACTTGCACCTGGCTGGATAACCTTGGGCAAGCCGTAGTCCTGATAAGAGCTGTCCTTGAAAAAGAGCAGTTTCTGTCAAGAGCTCTTTCAGCCCCACCTACCTCACAGGGTGTCTGTTGTGGGGAGGGGAAGGGGAAGGAGCTTGTAAGCCGCTCTGAGACACCTTCTGGTAGTGAAGGGCGGGGTATAAATCCAATCTCCTCCTCCTCCAGAGTTGTGGCCGCAGAGCTTTGATGCTGCTCAGAACTGCCAGGGTCTCCCCATGTAGCAAAGCTGAACACAAAGTCAAGTCAGCCCTGGGTGGATGACTCAGACAGAATTCTCCTGGGACCCACAAGGCACTTTTTATTCATGATTTCCTCTTCCAAGCTGCCAACTGGAGCAAGCAACTCTCATGCAGAGATGTGCAAAGAAAGGCTCGGCTACAAGGACGTACCTTTCGGCTTCTTCCTCCATCAACCCAGGGTTTGCGCGGAATCTATGCCAGTGCGCCCGTGCTTCCTGCCTCCTGTCCAGTTTCCAGAGGGTGTGCAGCAGATACCAGTGAGCGGCAGGGCTCTCTGCAACACACAAAGGAGGTGACGCAACCTGAGCTGGCCTCAGTGCAGGGCTAGACCAGGGCCCAGAGAGCGCCTGGGGTCGAATCACAGCAGCACCCCCCCCCCCCAGCCCTTCAGCGTCCTTTTGGAGACGCGGCCAC